GAGTTTCTAAAATATCTCCTATGAAAAATGAAAAGTTAAAAAAAATACTAAAAGAAAACGATGCAGAAATTTAAAATGTTTTGTAAAAAATATACATTGCAAATGATGAAAAATATACATTGCAATCTAGTTATTATCAAATTATTAATAATCAAATATACTATATCTATTTTCGCATTAGATAGATATGTTAATATTATGTTAATGTTATATTAACATAATATAGTATAGTATTTAATTGATTAATTGCGACGCGATCCAACATATTAAAATTATATCAACGATATGAATTTTGAGAAAAAATAAAATTTATATACTATAAATTGCTCTAATATTTTTATTGACTACCTTTTAACAAATTCAGTTATATTTGATAAAAACATAGAATATCTGTTTGTAAAAACTCTTTTAATATTTGCAAATAAAACAATTTTTGTAAGCAAGAATTTCTAATTAAAATTCTATTAAATTTTTTTTTCAAATTTTAAATTCCGAAAAAAATTGTTCTGTTTCTTAGAAACTAAACTCATTAAAATTTTTTTTTGGAATTTCAATAATTTATGACTTCAGAGTTAGTCTGACACCTTGATTTTGTGACTTGAGAAACATATTTTCATTTCGAGGAAAGTCTCTCTATTTAAAATGTTATCCGGTGATTTTTGAATATCTCGATGTAACAGTGTGTTTGTTTTATGCTCGTGTCTTGCTTGAGATAACGTGTCATAAACCGAGGGTATTGTCTACACGTGGTGCGGAAGAGAGTCACTCTCGTATTATAAATCTCTGCTTTCGTTTACCCAGACGCAGCCGTGCGAAAGACATCGGGTGCATTGTCCCCGTTACAACCCCTTGGTATAAGTTGCCAGTCGCATCGCGACGATGGACGTATCGTTTTCATATACAATCTGATGTTACCACGGTTTCCGATGCATCGGAAATCGATCGCAAATAATTAAGCCTCGATAGCCGCTTTGGTCGATTTCTGTTTCCTAACGACTAACCCATCAGGCTACCGATAATAGGTGAAGATAGGTCGGTGACGGTGCCCTCGGGGCCGTTCTAATTACACCATTACCTACTTGTGCTATTACTAATCATCTTGGTGTGCATGTGTGTGAATACGTGCACGTGTAATCAGTTTATCATAATTAACATCTCGCGGAAGCCGAGCGAACGAACGGAAAATTTCCGAGCTAATGGCCGTGAAATTCGTTCTAATCCTCGGTAATTTGGGAAATTGTGCGTTCCTGGTATCGAGCTTTCAGCAAGTTTTGGTTATGCTGTGTATACTGTGTATTCGATTAAGTTATATATTTTTTTCACTTTTTTCCTAGAATCAGTTTTTTGCTTTCTTTTAAAAATCTTTTGCAATTTTTGAATTGAAAAAAAATCTATTGCTCAGAAGAAAATTTTATTTATAATCTAGAAGGATTTAAAAATACAAGAAAGAATGTTCAAATTATCGAATTTAAGATTTTAAGATCTATTCCTAGAGATTAAAAAATTATATAAGATCCATGATTATATAAGATCTATGCTGTGGCTATCATTTAATTTTTATAGTTTTAATTAATTATAAATAATGTAAGTACACATTTAATTATTATACAATGAATATTTAAATAATTATTAAAAGATTGCTATTTTTAAGAAAATTATTCTACCATTGTCTATTCATATTAAAATATCCATTATTATTCCATTATATTTAAATGCAATTTGAATATGCTATTAATATTATCGAATATATGAATTACTAAAAATCATAACAGTCAAAATGAACTCAACAAATGCTTATTTTTTACTACGCATCAATTTATAAAATTCGAAACGCGAAACGAATATTCTTTTATTATTTAATCTCATTCTGTTAAATTAATAAAAAATTACATAAACAGAGAATTATTTTTTAGTTATTTAAAAATAACTAACAGGTACGTCGGAGCGGCTTTTAGAAATACATATACTATACATATATATAATTTGTAAAGAATGCTTTTTAACATTTCGCATAAAAAAATGCATTTTAATTTAAAAGTTATATCTTTGGACTTTAAGAATGAGTTGTCACGTGAATCCAAGAGCCTAAATGACATTTCTCATCGTTCTGCTTCCGATTGCCACGACCGGGAAAATATTCGCTTGTAATGGAACTCTTTGTAACCGTAGCCCGTGTGCATTTGCGGTAACACGAGGTTCAACATGTGCGCTTACGTGCGCGTTCGTATCCGAAACCTCTATGGCATGTCTTGTCTGCAGAAACGACGGACATAAAACGCACCGCACGCGGGCGTGAAGTCTCGCTGCGTCTCGCGCTCGCGCGCGGACACGCTTTCTGTTTTTACTTCGCCTTTGGAACGGGCTCTGTTACGCCGCTCGGCCGAATAATAATTGCCTCGACTTTCCATTTCCAACGAGAATGCGACGTTCACCCGTTTGTCAATAGTACAGGAAAGAAGAAATTACCGAGAAAACCTTCGAGAGTTTCTCCTCTTCCTCTTCTTCCCTATCCTCCTCCCTTTTATTTGCTCATCTACGTGCAAGGTATATATAATCTGTCTGTAGTCTCGGCGTTTTCGCTTATTGTTATGTTTCATATTCTCGTTGCGTCTTAAATTCCCCATAACCGTATTTAAATTGCAAGATTTTATTTGTTTCCGTTGCATCCGTCACGAAAATTCACATTCCGTCAGAATTTTCTTTATTTTTTTTTTTATGCTAATTTATGTTGGTTTAATGCGTGTCGCAACTTCGTCTTGTTCGTCCTGAAGCCTGCGATATTTCGTGTCAAGTTCTACAGCCTATAAGAGATTCCTATTGTATTTTATCCTATTATCTTACATATCTCCATTTCTCTCTTTCGTGTTCCACGCGTTGCTCTATTCCTTGTTTTCCCTCGTACATCAGTTAGCAACCAGCCATACGCTGGCCCGAGCGATCACCTATCGATCGTACATGTCGAATCGCTGTTTAGACTTATCAGTGAATCAATTGGCTGGTTCTGAGAACGCGGATGTGGCCAACGCGCGCGAACCTCACGCTCTCGGAGCGTCGATATAAATTGGACTTCGTAGAAAATATCGAGGATACAATAAAGGTCGATAACGCGAGCGTTCGTTGAATATGAATCGCATTTCGATCTCGGCGAACCGAGGAGGAAAACGTTTCGCGTTATCTCACCCCGCGTCTCGTCCGCGAGCTGGTTGCCGAAGATAAACCGAAGAGGATCGAGGAATCGACGCGCCGGAACCGGAGGGAGAGAGGAGGAGGGGAGAGAGAGAGAGAGAGAGAGAGCGTTAGATCTAGCTTGATACGTTTGGAAACGAGAGGAGATATAAAGACTGTCCAGCTACTAAATATATTTTCGTTGTTCGATTAAATCGCGCGGGTATTCGCGCGCGGTTCTCGCGGGACGAGGTCGAGGGAGCTTAGAAACTTTCGAACATGGCGCGGCGAGACTGCATGGTCGCCGGCGCGCAGGTAAAGTAAAGTGAAGAGAACCACCTCGGTGCATCGTACGAAGTGGGGATGCAACCGAGTCGCGCACGCATACACGTGCGACGCGTGTGTATCGCGCACGCACGCACGCACGCACGCATACACGTGCGTGCGAGAGAGCACCGCTCTCTGTCAGTCACGGTGTGCCGGATATCGGTGTGAGCCCCCGATCTCTCGTCTTCCCCTCTTTGGGATCTCCGTCGTGTATTCACGTACACGCGTGTGCGTACTCGCGTTGCACCGCCTACGCCTCTCTCGCATCGTGCGCGATGCCGCGTGTACCTAATATAAAGCAGATACACGCTTCGAATAACATCTTCGTCACATCATCTCGTGTCGATTTTATCGAATTTTCGATTTTAGGGAATTTCTTTGATAAACAGATAACAGAAGTTGAGTCCTTTTCTATTTGCTATTAATCTATACTTTTGATATTGCTTATTTTTAATTTCTCTTAGTATATTTTCTCTTGGTATATTTTCTGGTTTCTGAAAATGTTTCTCTTTAATTCGAAAAGCGTCCCAAGCGGCGACGAACCTGCCGACCTGACGACCTGGCGAGTCCAACAGACACGTAGCATCGAGTAGCGTGGTAGGGGAGAGTATTAAGTTAGCTTGATTTTGTGTGTGTGTGTGTGTGTGTGTGTGTGTGTGTGTGTGTGTGTGTGTGTGTGTGTAGCGAGAGACCGGTCGTAGCATGGATAGGAAAAGAGATGAAGATACAGACCTATAGGCAGACAGAGCAAGAGGATAGGAAGAAATAGTGAGATAAAGAAACGAATTAAGCCTGTTTTGCACTTCACATTGGAGATCAAAATTAATGACAAAATTTGCAAAAGTCATAATTCAAAATTATGATCTATTGCGTCCGAATCGAATAAATCTCGGTTAAGAATTTATCATTTATCACTATTTCGACTGTAGCACTGACCATAACACAAACAAAAAGAAAAATAGAAAGAAAATTTACATTTACGTGATTTCTGCTTCCATTTGGAGATTTCTTCTTTTTATATTCACATGTCTTTCTAAAGACTATCGCACTTTCCGTAACCGTAACCATAAAACCACCGTAACATTATTTTTGAACTCTTAGTTCTGATTGACTAATTTTTATGCTACGTTTTATTTACGGGTTACGGGTGTATACAGTACCCAAAATGTACCAAGTAAAACAAGAATTCTCGATTGATATCTGTTTTCCATCCTCTACGTACGACTCTGTTTTTGACATTTTGTGAGATTTGTTTACTTGTTACGACCAACTGACTCCATGATCAAATTTGAATCGAGTCTTCAACGCGTACGACGTAACAGGGCCTTTACGCAGCTTCGTGAGAGACGCGGGAGAAGAGCAGCGGGATATGCGTGGTAGTCGTGCAGGTAGAGTGGTGGCGATAGTAGTGGTGATGGTGGAGGTGGTGATGGTGATGGTTGTAAGTTGCGATCGCGCGCGGGTGTGCGTGTCGCGGAGCGGGGCAGCGCAAGAAAAGCTCCGGTGGGGGAATCGGCGGCAGTCTACGAGTATACGAGTAACGCGCCGCGGTCGGCTCACGACGACGAGGTGGTGGAAGAGAGGCACGGCGAGGTGGTATGTACGTTAGCGGCGCTGAAGAGAAACGGCGTTCGGTCGCGCGGAGTCTATCGCGAGCCCCCGAGGAGCGAGTTGAGCGCGAGCGAGCGATTCCGGTCTTTCGTGGTCTTCCCCACGAGAGATCACGCGGCGTCTTCGTCGTACGCGCGGGTGGGTGGGCGCGTGCGCGCGCGCGCGCGCGAGCCCTTAAGTACGGAATACGTGAGAAACGTGTCTCTGCCGCGGAAGTTGCGCAACCGGCGCTTCTTGACGTCTCCGCGCCGTTTCAGGATGGGTTAAAGCGTGCTGTGAGTTTTGAGTTTTTCATTTCGCCTGGCTGTATCAGTGACGTGATTCAACGACCCATCGGTGGTGTACAGTGAAATTCCACAGACGACTCGTTCGTCCCCTTGGTTCTCCTCGGTCTCGGCTGAGAGAGCGAACGTATCGTGAGCGCCGTTGTTCGGAGTAGAGTCGTCGATATTCCGGAGTCGTCAGCCCGCGTTCAGGGCGAATGAACTGCGTACCGGCGATGATGGTTCTCCGTAGCGCGGCGATGCGCAAGTAATGAGGGAGCTGCGTGATCGACCGAGCACGACCGGCGATGATAGAGAGAAAGGAAGAGGAGAGAAAGAGAGAGAAAGAGAAATTATATATATCTAACCTCGACCTCCAAGTATCGGCTGTTTTGTAGTAGCGTGCGCCGCAACGACGTCGTCGTCACGCCACGCGGTATAGACGGGAGTTCGACAGTGCGGGACGTGTCGCAGTAACGAGAGCCTCCGCGATGAAGTCTAGTATTACTTTGTAAGGCTGCAACCCTGAAAACGGAGTACCTTGTAACGTACCAAATAGCAAAACCTACTAGCGTGCAATAATCTCTCATCGTTCGATCCCTGAATAACGGGTCTGACCTAAAGAAGCTTAATCTCGTGATAGGAAGATCCTGGATTAATTGGAGAACTATCGGGAACTTTGTAGAAGTCAATCGTGTCAAGTCGAGCTCAACAAGTGGACCGTCGTCTTACGGATCGTCGACTCCGCTAAAACCGGATCGTCCGGAAAGCGGAATCTTTGACGAAATCGCAGATCTATGTTCCGATATCATGCTCCCTTTTTTTTTTGATTCTTGATCTTCAATTTTGGAACATCGGATACGTCAAACGTGCAACAAGTTGAAGAACACGTGGCGAACGCAGCGCGCTCGAATCAATTAAAGTATCTGTTTCTTACGTAAGACTCCGTGACGTCGTGGTGATAACATTTGGTCGTTGTTGATAAAATTCAAGATTTCAAGATTTCGCGTAAGATGAGCAGATAATAGATCACGAGAACGGTCAGTCGACGATCGGTGCTTGACGTGACGAGAAGCGCGACAAGTTTGGCGTTTTAAATTCGGATATCGCGTTTTGATGCTGATTCTTTAAATCGCGGTGAACTCAAGATCGAGAAATTCTCCAATCTTCAAGATTCTTCGAGATTCGCGAAAGCGATGTAAGCGACACCTCGACTCGAGGTGAGAATATTCTTGAAGAGTCCTCGTCGAGGACAAGAAGCGAGGGAATCCGGGACACCCCCCTTTCCCTCCGAAAGAGAGAGTTTTCTTAATTATTAGTGCGGCGGGGCGGCAAGTAACTTTGAATGACCTTCGTATTCTGCGGCTTCGTCTTCGACTCGTCCGACGAGAAGACGAGACAAATGCCGGTCGCTTCGGAAGACTGGATGCCCCACCCGGGCGCCAAGATAACCAGTTCCATCACCACCGTCAAGGGTGCCACTATACAGAGCACTACAACGGCCTGGATGTCGCCCTATAGCAGGACGACGCCGCCCGATCGCGGAGGGTCCAACAACATTAACAATAACAACAACAACAACAACGGCGTGGTTATATTGGATGGTTGTAGACCGCCGGCGGCTACGACAGCCAGAAGATTCTTCAGGTGGTTCAGCAGACTGGGACAACCACCGATGGGCAAATCAGGTAAAAAAAAAATTTGAAACGAAAAGGATGCACTTGTGATAATATTCAATTTTTGTGAGGATTATTGAAAATACTTTCTTTTGCAAAATTTATAGAATTTTTTGGATAGAGAATAAGACATTCAAATGCAAATCTAACAATAGAGTTATCATATAAATTCTGCAGGATTAATTTTTTAATCTTTTTAAATTCTTTTTAAATTCTTTTAATTTTAAAAGGTTTCGTAAAGGGAATTTATATGAAATTTATTTTTTTATGTTTTATATTATTCTTGTAATTTTTTGCGATATTAACTTTATCTTTAATTGTTCAAAAGTGAAAGTATGGAATTGGTAACTTTAAGACTCAAAGAATTAAGGAACAAAAATGATGTAATGCTTTATCAGCATATTGTGACACTCTCTCTTATGTAGTACAAATTGGATTTTAATTTAAAAATTTTTATTAAAAATTTTATTATATGTAATATCTTTAACCAATCTCGTTTATAATACAGCAGCAAAAATAATTTAATTCCGAATTTTTTTCTCAAAAATTTCTTATAATTTTCTGTCTTCAAATACATATATCTATTTTATATCTATTTTAAAAATACAGTTTAAGAAATACAATAACAAAAATTTAATAATGTAATTCTTTCTCTTTATCTTTTTTATTTAATATTTTAATATATATGTATGTTATTTTAATATACGTACGATAGATGTGGGATGCAATACAATTAATATCTTGCAACACATGTTACCTTTGACATTATCCGAAATTGTTAAATATGATCGACCACGGCGTTATACATCGTAGTTATTGAATTCGCGATGAACCGGTAGAGCAACTCGTGCTCTCTCGCGATTGTCTCGACTCGCGTAGATCGAGCGCGATCGTTCCATCTCTCTCTCTC